TTATTGTAAAGCCGACATCGTAAGCTTTAGACATCCCTCCGTTGGCGTTATTTATATGAATATAGTATTGGTTTGTGGAGACGACTATCGTTTGGGATTACTTGGTTTACCTCGAGTAGGCGTTATACTGTGACTAATTGGGGAGCCGCCATTAAAGCATGTTAATAAAGACATTTGATCACACGTCTGGAGAACACACAGCTGAGGCCATAGACATGAGGATGCTCACTGACAATACATAGAGATTAAACATACTAGTAATGCGGCAACCTAGTGTATAAGCTCTAGATTCCCATGGCTTTAAGATGATCCATTCAAAGATCATGTCAATGCGTTGGCAATAGGAAGAAGGTGATTGTGCATTACAGTGCTACGAGCTAGGGGAATAAATATCGTATAGGGATACGCAGATGGCAGAATCTCCAGATTGCATTATTTGAATACTTTTTTATAATTGACCCGGGCAGGACAAAATCGTATATGATATAATGGCTGCAGTAAATAGATAATATGATGCTGTGATATGGTTGAAGGAGCGTGTGCATTACACAGATTGTCGGTCAGAATGAGACAAATGTGCACCTGTTATTTCGGAAGACAATAGTTAATAGAATAATAGATGAAATAGAAAAAATACGAGCCCTGGGCATGCGATGGCATTGTATATGTGGTGTCATTCGAATCAGCAACTTGCTCATTTGTTCAACTTGTCAGTGTTCTAGTTCAGCCTAGTGTTCTAGTACGCAAGACCCCATTAATGAATATGGCTTGGACGCTCTACTGAATGCATTTGTTCATGTATTATATAACTATAACCATAGCTAGGGCAAACGAGGACACAATTCGGTTTTGCATCTTCACATATACATATCACATTATTAACTTGCAATTATGGAACGTGGCAGGAAATATAATCTTTGAATAATACTACATCTTTATCTGGGTCATTTCATATTCATGTTTTTGGTTGCAATTCCTTATTATATAACATGCATTCCGTATATATAACGTTTTTTTATTCGTGAAGTATTTAGTCTCTGTGATGCCGACACTGGTAACAAATATCACTTACTTACTGGGATTTATTATAGATAAGTAAAATTGAGTTAAATCAAGCTGCACGTACAAGGGAAATAGGTTCCGACCAGGAAATACACTAACGATAATGTGGCTAATTAATCACGATTCGCCCATCGCTAATGATTGGTGTAATTTAGAAAAATTAAATATTAATATAATTAGATCAGATTAGTATTACATGCGGCTTTGAGACGTAGTGTCACCCTGTTCGCCAAACTACTAACCGGATTTCACTGGTTGTATAGTATGCATAACTTTGGGACGTCAGTACACTGCAGTACAGATGATTTCAACAATCTTGTCTATGTGTGAATACAAAGTTCCATCAACATATTTCACTCTCAATTAGCATATTCAGGTTAATGTTAATTATTGACGAACTTGGCAATTTACCAAGTTGTTCATGATTTGTCCCGTTCAAGATGAAAGTATAACAAGCACTGATACAACATAATTAAATAATAATGATTTCTCCATGGTAACATGTTGCATAATTATATTTGATGATTATATTTGAGATATTACATGGTAAGATATTTGGATATTGTATAGGCCGGTGCACTTCGTTTTGTGCGCGTGCGCATTTACTGGTTGACAAGAACAGGTCATTGCTCCGAAGATAAAATAAAGGCGTTTTTCGCTGCTTCAGTTATAATTGAATATTGTTTTACGTGTCCCTGTTAATAAAACAACTTTTAGACAATGTTATCGCTGCAGATTGCGAGCCAGAGTTATCACACATTCGCATGCATGTTGGCAAAAAAGTAAACACATTACGTCACACTGCGACGGCCTATAGCATATACTCATATCCGAACGATTGGTAAAGGAAATAAAGATATTCAGAAAATGTATACATAATTGTAACAGTACTATAACAATCCCATGATGGAATTAAGATGAACAATAACCTTATACCGATATGTATTTGTAACGTTTCAGGTAAAAAATACTCATGACCATGCATTCTTAATATGACCAACAGTTCAAATTGACGCCATAAATTGTTGCCACGAGCGAAAACAAATGTGTGCAGAGAATTATTACCATATAAGGCTTATCAAACACGGAAACGTCCAATGTGACGTGAATGCTCTCATGGGACGGATGCTGAAATTCAACGATAAAACTGATTGATGCTTGTCTCATTTATAAGTACTGTAGTAATGAAAAATACACATACATAATAAGACATTATAAGTGATTGGTTTGCAGGACAGGAAATATAAAATAACTGCAATTCAGTGCAAACTGATCTGGCAGTCATTCCAGGAAACTGGCAATTGTAGCAAATGGGTTTTCATTCTATGAATATTTCACACTATTATTGATGGAACGTGTGGTCACTATCAATGATAGTAAGATCTCTTATTTTAAATAATGAACAACCTGAAAAACGTACTATGATTATATAATATACTGATTAACGAAATGTTTCCAATGTTGACGAGGTTTATGTCAATAATGTTTAGTTTAGTGGTTGTATTCAGACAACACAACACAACTGAACATTCAATTGAAAGAAACCCTGCCCTCAACATTTTATACTTTTTTACCACGATTTTTACTTTAGTATTCCCATCAGTGTGTAACATAATGTTTTCAATGTTACCATCATCACACTATATAACAACATTCCGATATCCTCATCTTATTCTACCCTCCAATCCAGCGAATATTCCGAGTTATGGAAACTATTAACTCGAGGGTATCCAGAAAACTATTTTCAGTAACGTACACTAGCTTTATTGAAAGACGTAATGACTAATAATGAGGCGATTTAAGAAGGCATTTATGTTACCTGTAGAACATAATATTTTGTCTCGGATTGATACATAGTTATGGAAAATATAAAGAAGAATATGTCTATTTCTTCTGACATGATCAATCAGTGAGGGAAAGATGTATTGACTTTGACGATTTACAACCAAAAAGCTGATTTTGTGGTTAATTGAGTTTGTTAATAGAATGCACATGAATTTGATTTAATTATTATGTTTTCCTTGTCGATAATTGACTTTGACATTACACACATTGTCTAATACTAATACACGATTCCGATATTTTAAAAAACTGACAAATTTGTAAGTTTTTTTACTGTAATAATAATGCAAATGTTAATGCAAATAATACAGCGAACTGTCCATTATTGAAATGCCGCGTTCTCATTGGTTGATCGGTACCACGTACCAGACCTATTGTCATGATTACGCTAAGAAATCCTGGTTACAGAGAATATAAAGAAAAAAAACTTTTCATTTCAGGATACAATTGAGATAATGAACTACCCACTTTCCATTTTTGCCATAACAAGGCTCGGATGGGGATGGTCGGCTAACTAATGGCTACAGCTCGCCTAATATTACGCACATCTCCGTTCCTGCCCTGTCATAACGCAATAATGAGCACTGTGTCGTTCTTTATTCTCCAAATACACATACTTTATAAGTATAGGTAATGTGAGGTCAATATACACTGGTGATGGAAACCATACTATTCTCAGTTCTAGTAGATCATGGGATAGAACGAATCAGTTTAATGACTTCAAGAGGTGAATAGTACAAATGCTGGCGATGCAGCAAAAGTGAGAAGAGTGAAAGGTCCGGTTAACGCGTTGCTATGTCGTATTTAACATTGTCTCATATAATTCTATGGCGGGAAAAATGTAAAAGGACGCGTTAGTAACGAATAACTTCTTTGAAAAAAATTATATAATTATATTCGTTCCACACTGTATAACCAAGTACCACGTAATTGACAAAGTGGATCCTACATGCTGCAGGATAAAGTACATTTGCATCATTTCCGCGTCGTCTACCCTAGCATCGAATTACAGTCATTTCCACCTGTACCAATACATTGTGTAAAATTGTGATTAACCAAATGTGGTCACCATGGACTCTTCTGACGCCATTTTGTTATACGAGTCGCTGCCAGCAGTTTTATTTACCAAAGATGATTAATCAAAAATGTCATTATGGTTTCCGTCCTTCTCATACAGACATTTTTTCTAAAGACTTCTGGGTTTTTCATTACAGTTATACATGTTTCAATAGAGTGTTGAAAAAGATGTATCACATAGTAACACCATTATATTATATATTCAGTGACACCTGACAAGGATCCTAATTATTGTCAAGTAATATCTTTCCAGTGAAGATTGTGGAACAATACAAAGTTGTCTCTACTAAAATGAATAACTGTAACGGAAGGATGAGAGGAGTGCGTATTGTAGAGACTTTAATGTATGTTTAATTACTTCATGGACATGGAAATTGTGTAGGGACGCCCTATGAATGACGCACTGATATACCGATGACGTCATAATTACAAAAGGAAACGTTAAACTTATGTCAACAAAATATTCGACTATATTAAGTAGGTTATTGACTCATTGTGGTTTTTCAGGATGAAATTATAAAATTGAGTCATTAAATAAATAACAATAATTAGTGTCATAGAATAGTTGCCAACAATGTCACACATGACACGATATTATATAGATATTATTTTCCCCTTTTCCTCATACAGAATCACGTTTCGTATTGTTTCTATATAGTATTCCCTCGCGGCAAATGGAGAGGAGGAGAATACTCCATTCGTTCAGGACGGTTTGTTGATTGTTCATAAAACAGGTACATGGTTACAAACACCATGTCTCCGGGTAGAAAGAGTGCTGACTTGTCTATTATATAATTGAAAAATGTTGACAAATTAGTTGTGTATAATCCGTGTGCGTGTTTAAACTCACTTGCTTATAATATGTAAACACACCCCTTTTGATTAAATACGTACGTATCACCCTTTTTCTATTGGTTGTTCCTGTCAAATAGAATATTCAACACAGTGTCGATAACGCCAACGCCTTAATGTAGTATTGCTTATAAAGCAAGAGAAGACACGAGTCATCAAAGTAGTGAAAACCGTTAGACCTGTGAAGAGATCAATTTGGTAATCATAGATTGTTTTGTATATATATATTCGTAACGTATTAAGGTAAGTTAGAAGACTTTTATAATTCTATTCAATGATTATACTTACTTCTATGTTATCTACAATTTTACATTACGTACATATTGGTTCCATGTTTTGTTTACTTTGCACAGTGTTAAAAATTTAAAATTGTTATCATTCGATTAATGCTTATGTTAATTTTAATTCTACAGAAAACATCGATATGCGCTACAGAGATCTACTAGCTATATTTCTACTTTTATTTGTTGCTATGACAACAGTAGACAGTATGGGACTACCGTGTGTTGATTACTGGGCTAAATGGTGTGGTAGAAGACCAGGAAATAGTAAGAAATGTTTTATATCAGCATATTAGTTCTGATATTGTCTGCATTAAATACGACTAGGTCTGAATAAAAATATATAGCAAAAATCCATTTAACATAAAAATAATATCTATGGAAGTAAAAATAGTAATATATTTTATTCCAAATATTAATTTAGTATTACGCATTGTTGTCAAACAGATTACCGTGTGTATGCATGTTATGTACACTTACGGTATACAATTTAAATGATTGGTTGTTACTTAATTATTATCCTAACTAAACTCGATGATTATGAAAAACAAATACGATTCCGATTGTATCCCTCTTAGGGGTAACATACAAATATGTATTTTCCGTCATAACATGTATACAAAAGTGGGTTATATTCATATCATACCCACTTGACCCGTAAACGCGTTGATCGGCAAAACGTAAGCCCTTTAGTCGCGGTCGCGCATTTTACAGGTGAAGCGTTTGATACTTACAAGACAGTATATTATTAGCCGTAGGGTAATCAGGTTCGTCTTTATTCAGCACGGTGTAATCTGCGTGTACGCAGGACTAACTTTTTCATTTACTTCATTCATCATTTGACTCACAAAGGTTTTAATACGTTCGTCTTGCGGCTTTACATTATTAATGTTTTGAGGATACATGACCTGACTCGACACTTTGCTGTCCATACTAGCAGTCTCGTTGCATGAATTGTGAGATCATACGTCAAACATATCAACAACAAACAAAAGCTTTATATCTTATAGTTAAGTGTGTTTTATACGAATTCGGATTTGAATAATCTTTTAAATGGGAATATTTATCTGTTTTTATGCGTCCCATTAATGCAATATGAATAATAAGGATTTGGTTTTTTCTACTGTTTCCATGGAGATCAGTACTCGAGTAAGTTTGCCGGATATGGTGTAGCTGTGTCTTGTAGGCTTTATTCAGAAGTATCAGTGGCTGTCAAAGCAATTTGCGATTTCTACATCAGAGAATAAGTTTACGAGAGGTGTTAAATTTAAATTACTTCATTGATTCCGTCATATACCGTGACATGGGGACAATATAATATAGAATTAGTAGAATTATTTACCAGGCTTTGGGGAAAATGCTAATTGAAGCTAGCTAGAATAAAATCAAAATGTTAAAGTAGATATTTATCTACACAATGCGATTAATATATTTTTGCTAAAGTTTGATAGTACTCAAGTGGGAGTGTATGGGCATTGAAATTACTCGTCTGAATAGATAGAGTACTTGTCAATATAGGAAACAGTATTTGTTTTTTTTACTAGTAAAGAATGTTATCTTAATGACATAACTAATTTCGTCTCTACCTGTAACATAAACATGGAAATGAACATATAGCACTGGAATGGGAACACTAGGTGTCAATATATCAGTCCTACAAGGGAACATAAACAACAGCGTTAAAATTAAACACAAACATCGGTCAAACTTAATGGGTGGTCTGGGGTACATACAACCTGACAGGAGCAACAGGTTAATAACGGTGTTGTGATATATTCATTTCAACAATACGACATCATCGGCAGTGGCAAAAATTTGCATGTAGAATATGTAGCGTTTGTATATGTATGCGGAAATAGACGATGCGCTTGCTGTAAAGTTTGTCTCTGACTATATTCAGTAATCAGTCGTGACTCAGATACAAATTGTTTCAACTGCTAAAATGAGAGATATCTGGGTCAAGTAAACGATTCTCCTTTATGCACAAAAAGGTTTTAGGAAATTTATGGAGATAATTTAGACAACACGAGGTCATTTTATTGTTTAATTTGCCTGTTTATCTCCGGGTCAACAGAACATTATGACTGTTGTTACATTAATGTAATAGTTGCACTATTTCCTAGCATGTGGTTCGTCACACCGACGATTCTAAAACAAATAGCTTAAAATGACGTGCAATGAACGTGGTCATTCAGTGACTAGCTGTTAAATACACAAGCCAATTCCCGGACATCACAGACAACATGCAATAGATATCTACACGCATGAATATATTATGTATTCATGGTTCATAACGTGCTTCAGGACATCAGGACAATTCTGTTGACTAGAAGGGACAACCAAACTGGGTGGAATCAACGTAATTACAGGAAAACAAACACACATAAATCACACTTAACACGAGATTCGAACTCCTACTAACAGGCGCCTTAACTATAACATAAATACTCAAATAATTACCTCTAAACACAAATCCAGTTTAATGTTTATTGGTTTTCAGAATAATTAGTTATAATTGTCATGTATTCTTTTGAAATTATGTTTTTTTTCTATGAAATGGTAATTGTCACGTAGTAATTACAGTGATATTAGCCTCCGTGACTGCGCAATAACGGTTATACTAATTTATTAGATGTTATATATTTTACTTTTATTAGTTCGTGTCCATATATTATATATATGTTTTATTTTCTGTAATCAGAGTTATTGATTTATACACGCCTCTGGCACATTGAATGTAAATAGTGTTAATATTTGTATGAATATTAGATTCCAAAATTACCCCAGAACACGTGTTTTAACAATCTCAAAAACCATTAGAAAACTCAATTAACCTTGGTAACAGTAGTGCTACTGTGGAATCCTAGCGGTCTCGGCTAAACAGAACAAACTAGTAGAGCAGAAAAGAAAACGTGTATTTGTAACTGTCAGTAAAATTTATGTAACTGTATTAAACGTATATGCACGTTTACGTAACACATCATATGTAACTGTCAGTACCGTAGTCGCTGGGGGCGGTGTTCACTATACGTCATTTCGAATTACGATTTTCATACCATTGAGTGTGTCGTGATAGGTAGTGTGTCTGTACACAGTGGCGAGGCGGTTTCCGTGTACATTTATCGGTGTTATGCAAATAGATCGATGACGTAGTATGGTGAAAATATATAATTTACTTTGCCCACTCAACCTCCTAAATACTATGAAACAATAAACCCGCAATGTTGCGAGGTCCTTGGTAACAATTTGGAATCAAACTTTCAGAAAAATATTTATTTCGAACCTAGCGTAGAAGAAAATATTGAAACTACATATTGATGTAGTGAGGTTGTCATTAGAATGTCCATTTCGACCACATGCAGCCTCTATATCACCTATTTCGTTCTATTGGTTTAGAACAACTGCATTTTTAGTTATACACATACATGGATTATATATTATGCATATATAACAATTTTGCTTTCTTGCACGAAGCCAAAGTGTACGTGATCCCCCCGTACCCTATTCTAGAAATGTCGGTTTGAAGCTATCTATCAGTATCAATTCCCTGTACGAGAACACACAATTACATGTATGCCATTTTTATTGTAGTGTAGTAGATTTATTGACTTAATTAACGACATTATATCTAATATTGATAGCTATTAATTGTTATTTACTGGCGTTACGGATATATTAATGCAATGTAATCATCGATTTAAAACTAATCTAGTTTGGGAAATTAATAAATAATCTAATCAACCTGACTTGATGATCACGGCCAAGTCAAATTACCATGTCAATGCGACTATTCTTCATGTCTCAATCCTCACATAAACATTAACGTGTAATTAAAAATATTGTTTTTGCGGTAATACTTGATGTATCAATGGGCTATAGACCCAAATGGCCGCTGAGATATTGTTGACAGCTGAGAGGGAGAGAGGGACACGAGACTTTTCACCCTCCATATTGCTTCATTCTTTTGTGATCGCGTCTAGTGTTCAAACTATCATGGTAGCAGTGGACGTGAGAAAAAGGGAAAATAAGACACCGTTTTAGGGGCACAAATATGTCTCGTGATTCTCTCTTTCGTAACGAAGTTTCGGCGGCCATCTGAGTCTAAGGTCTGTCGAACGCTAATTTATTTGTTTTAGTGTGTATCAAAAAATAATGTCGACATTTTACCGATAATATGCATGTAATTGTTATTTATCCCAATCAGAGAAACGTTGTAGTAATATAAAGATGTGTATTGAAAACAATTATGTCTTATATAGATGTACATATGTAGTTGTTTTAATGGAATCGTTAACAAAGACATTTCATTCAAAGCAAGATTATTAATGCTAGCAAATAACACCGAATAAACGGCAATGTAAAGACTATGTCTAATTATAGTAAATACGTACTGCGTGCGTGACTCGAACCGGCGCTCGCGTACGGCACCTAATCGCCTAGCTTCACGCCACTACACGTCTTCCCCTCGGCCACCGGGCATCCCCAAAAAAGGATGCTTAATAACCGAGCTTATTACGTGCAGAGAACGTGAAACCCGTCCACGCGATACGCGCCACACAGCATGGCCACAATGCGGCAAAGGCCTTCAGATCTGGCTGTAGTAGGATGGTGAAAGTAATGGTACAGCATTTTAACAGTGAATAAGTACTGAGAAATAATTTTTAAACTCATAGTTGCTGTCGACATAGGAAGTAAAGTAAGCAAATAACACCGAATAAACGACAAGGTAAAGACTATGTCTAATTATAGTAAATACGTACTGCGTGCGTGACTCGAACCGGCGCTCGCGTACGGCACCTAATCGCCTAGCTTCACGCCACTACAAGATTATTAATGCTGCCACTTGAACAATTTTGACGGATAAAATTGAAAATTTGTTTGTAAAAACGTATTTGTCCAAGAATCAGTCTGTTAATCGTGATTGTGCTTTAAGGCCTAAATAACTAGAAAGATGGAAACCAGGTTTGCATAATATTACTGAAAAACCAGTCACTTTCCGTATCTTGAAATAACATCACACTCGGTAAATACATAATTTGACAATCAACAATACTGGATTTACAACTCCACCAATTGACAAACACATACATCGATAAGGGACATGAAAGTATTAGATGTATATTCTTGAAAGGTGGCAGTCTTCGCGCTGCGCACGTTTGACATTTGTATTAATAACTCATGAATTTCCCTCAATCCAATGCGTTCTTCTAATGGAAATCACAAGTATTAACGCCGGTGACTTCTTCGATACCTTCCAATTACCTAAAAATACCTAATTAAAGGTTCGTAACGTCCCAGTTTGTACCCAGTTTGATCTGCGAAACAGTCAAAGTCGTCATCTTTGTTTATATGAGATCCACATATCTTGCGCATGCGTCGCGCAACGACTACCACCCTTTAAATGAATATATTAGGATTTCTGAATGTTTTAAATAACGATTATTCATTTATAGTAATTTTCGAGAAGCAGTGATACAAGTTACATTATGTACCCTGTTATGGATCTTTGTTGTGTTATTTCCTCGAGTTATGAGTATTGGGAATAATCCGAGTGTTGCATTATCGTGTTTGAAAACGAAATATAAATCCCAGCCATGCATTGTCAATCATTAGACCAAATGTATTATGACGAATTAAATACAATTCGAGTTAGTCATGTTAAAAACAGGGCGGCAGGAAACAACACAGAAAAATCAATATTTGTGGCTGATCACTGACAACAATTGTTATAAATCACTTTCTTGAACAAATAATTTAACCTCAGATACAAAACGTAATGCGCATGCGCATCAATGGAATTGTTTGGACTGACATTACAATCAAGCAAAGAATATTTTGACATGACCGCTTTGTGAAATTATGACTTTTAGCAAATGCATATGTATGATCGATCTTTCCTTTGATTCATATAACAGTTGATTTCAAACATAGCTGTGAAGTATGGATCGGTTTGTGTTGTAATTTGATCTAAATAATTTGTTATATGTAGCACACGTATTGTTGGGATTCGTCGCTGATGTGCCGTGTACAATCACTAGTTCTTTTTTCTCTAAAACCATTAACAGCTTTAAGGTTATTTTAGTATTTGTGCTTGAGGACGACAAGGGGGTTATTTTAGTATTTGTGCTAGGGGATATTACGTGGGTTATTTTATTACATTGCTTTATAATTCAGGGTCATGAACTAATGATGACGCCCGGTATTCGTCGCTTACGACAATGTTCGCTTTACTGTTTGCAGATTTGGTTAAACAAAACAATTACTAAAAGTATAAGTTAAAATTTCTCGTAAAGTATCGTTTTAAATACCTGCCATCAAGCAGACAGCTTAGATTAGCAATCCTTTGAAATCATCAGACACATATATTAGTTTGGGATTAAAGATATAAATACAGATTATAAGCTTATTATTTACTCATCTATTCAATAGTCTCCACACAGTAAAAACGTAAACCTCATACAGTGTTTGTAATAAAATAGAGGCTCGTAGTAGTAGGCTAATAGGTTGAACGTTATTACTAACCCGTGGTAATAAGTATACACACAGGTTAATTTAGTATGTTCTATAATCTGTAATAGTTATTTCTAATATTAGGTCAGGGCGACTAGTATACGTATATGTGTTGTACATTTTTTCATATTTATTTAATCCTCAATAAATTTGAAAATGTAGTACAAGTGACATCGGACAACAACAGTCAGTCACGTGATCACAATTAAATTAATATTTATCTGAAAACAATTACTGAAACTAAAATGAAATCAAAGGGGTTTCCAGACATCTGAAATACCGAACAAACATACACGCTGGGAAAGCATTCCCGCTATGAACAATATTACTCTTGTACCAATTTTTACTGATTGACTTCTATGATCTTCAAAAAGAAATGAATGATCCTAAATTATTAACTAATCGAAAGTAATCTAATTTCGATGTCAATCACAGATAATTCAGAAATTGTTCAAATATTGTCTATTTCTAATAAAACATCCTAGACAAACATTAATAAAACCAGCTCTGTCATTGTGTGAATGACATATATAAAATAGTAAATGGAAAAAATCATGTAACATTTAATAAAGCTAATTCTTTGTTAAGTAATTTTTACAGAATAGCACTGTACATAGCTTTGTTCGCATTGAACACACCAATGTGTTGTGTGTTTGTAAGGCTGTCTGCTACCTCTTTGTTGTGTTATTTGCACGAAATGTGAGAGTTGGGAATAATTCAAGTGTTGCATTAGCTTGTTTGGTAACGAAATATAAATCCCAGCCATGCATTGTTAATTATTAGACCAAATTTATTATGACAAATTCAATAAACTTCGAGTTAGTCATGTTAAAAACAGGGCAGCAGGAAACAACACAGAAAAATCAATATTTGTGGCTGATCACTGACAACACTTGTTATTAATCACTTTCTTAAACAAATAATTCAACCTCAGATAGAAAATGTGATATAACCAGCTCTGTCATTATGTGAAAGAATATTATATATATTATAGTAAACGAGGCAAAAATCATGTATTTTTTGCAGAATACCAAATTTGAATCAAAATTTAAGTAAAGCTCTCCCATTGTACATAGATTTGTTTATACACACAACATATTATGTATGTGTGTATCTGAATGCAGTTTGTTGGAATAAATCCCAAACAGTATCTTTATTATGTATTTTATTTATTCTTTCTACATTCTATATAATTTCCCTCTATTTTCTTTCAGTAAAGAGATCACATTCCTCGATGAAAGCCCAGAAGGATTTGTTGGCCCCATTGGTAAAAAATGCAATACTCAAGATCTTGAATGAAAACTTAGAAGAAGATGAGTTCGATGACTATCTCCCGTTACCAGTGGAAACAGATGCAGAATACAATAACAACAGACAAATGACGAACAACTGGCTTTGATTTGGACACATTACTTGATGTATATTAAACCACACAAGCGCGCCACCACGCACGTGATCGTCACGTGCAAGAGAAGTATATAACGTGACTTTTATGTGGGCCTTCCGAATTGTTAGCCTTTTTGCAATGTTTTCGGCCGATGGGTGGGAAGTGGAATATTAATGTTTTCCCATGGGTTCAACTTTGCGCTGTCATGAACTTGCAAAGTACGAGATGTAATATTTCAGAAAAAAAATCAATCACTCGCAATTGCCTTAAATATGGCTTATTATAATCACACTTTACATTGCTATTGTAAATCTAACGTACTTTTTCCCATTGTATCTTTTCTTCATCGCATAGATGGATTAAATTTATTACTATTTATATCTTTAAATAAACAACATGCAAATGATTAATTTAATAACATTATGTTGTACTTCTTTATTGTATATCATTAAATTGAAAGACAAGATTTGTAACAGCTATACTGACGTAATACTCTAAAAAATACGCAGTGTGTCACATTATACATATAACAAATATTACAAATCACGTACGAGTTATTATATACAAGATTGCGTCTGATTCCATGGATTTGAATAACATAAACGAAAGTCTTTTTCAAAACATATCATTAGAATGCAATTGTCTTTCATCATGTCATGGGTTAATTAAAATACAATATAGTATAGAATGCAATGTATTTTTCAATTTGATATATTTTGTGAAAAAAACATGTTTAAAGGGCGATGATCGTTGCCCCGCGTCGTGCCCGGCATGGATCCCATAGCATCGTATACAACGCGTGTATTATATATATTTTACACAACATTCGAACGTGCACTGCGTCACGGTGACAACGACCGTCCTTTAAGTTGCTATGTTCAGCAATTAAAACGGGGTTAGAGGCATTTTCAAGCACTATATATAAATTTGTAAAATTTACAGAAAATGGCGACAAATACTTCTTTTGGAAGAGTTCAATTAACTGTATGTTTGTGTATAAATGTCCCACTGTAAATGATATAAGGGACGGCGCCCTCAACTATTCCAATGTATCACAGACATAATGGTGAGGATATCATACGAGTTGACGTGTGGCGGCGATGTTATTAAAATCACAAGACAAAAAATACAAACAATATAACACAGATGTAAAATTGGCAATAAATAAATAAAACAAATTACAGATACTGTTTTCATTTTCGATTGTGTACTTAACTGTGTGAAGAGAATCTGAAAATTCAAGTATTAACCAAGAATGCAATGTTTTCATAATGGTGTTTCGCAATATATCTGTGGTCAATTTTGTATACACAATAAATTACGACTCATCTTAAATTTTAACGCGTTTTGTGGTTGCTAACAAACAACCTACCGAACTGTGCACATGCATTCACATTTGCACACACGTACTTACAATACAATAAGTAAATTCCACAGTTCATTATTTCAAAACAATTTTGTGCTGTAACAAAAAACGATTCAGCTAATCTAATGCCATCATACATTGCAACACGTGTTGTTTGTCAGGCCCTAGTCCAATCATGCATTGCAACCTTTGGTTGCCAGTCTAGACCCTATCACCGACAACTTTGCTAATTTTGCTATGATATGTACTTTTGCAATGAAATACTTGTATATATTAAAATAAGCGCACTTACAAATTAATAAACCTACTACGAAATTATCGTACCCCTTAAATTACCTGTTTTTCAGTGGCCAGTGGTTATACGATAACCTGCTTCCATGACATTTTAACCTATATTCCATTCCCAAGATATGGCAAGGAAAACAAACCGCATATTGATGTGAGGATATTGTATGGTAATTCACATCCATGTGATGAGATTGTATGTAATACATATCATGTGAAGATATTGTATGGTAACGGAAATGGCCAGCAGCCAGAATCAAGGGGGATTGGCACAGAGTTCTGGGTAAATCAAGGAAATACTCGCTGTTACGGCACACCTGATTGGCTGGAAATGAGTATGCGCATTTGATGAACTCGTCGGATATCACCAGAAGACGCGGGATTTGTGCAGTTTTGAATAAAACCAAGTTAGCGATTATGAACAATGGTTATTAACGTAACAACCGCCCCCTCTGAACTTTTTGTTTCGCATTTTAAGGTAAGAAATCGACATTTGAAACCGACAAGGTGTCGATTTAATAGGTGCCATGTTTCACGACTTGTTTATTTATATGCGTACAGTGGAAGATTTAAAAATTAGTATTTATTAATTTTGAGTCCCCCCCCCCATCAGCGTGTATCTCGAATTGTTTGCACTAGTTAGCGTACATCAGTGGGCTGGTTAGTTTGATAAGTAAAGCCTTGAATGGTCAGTGACTTTTCGCGATTATCTAATTTTGAATATTTCTACCCAGGTGTTTCAAGTTGTTATGCCAAGAGTATATGACAAGGTGATATCTAATTAGCAATCTTCCACTGACAAACATAGCCTCTTGGTAAACCCTGTCTGA